CAAAGCAGACATTGAGGGGGATCCCGGCACAGCTGATCATCAGAAAGTTAATAGTTGGGAGGGGGGGAAAAGAAATGCCTTAAGGAGTGACTGGGTGGGGGAGAATTCAGTCAGTGATGTTGGGCATGCACACGATGTTGCATATGCGCGATAAGGACTGACTGGGTGGGGAGGAAAGGAGAAGGGTGAGTGGAGAGGGGCGGAGCCAGCCAGGGGCTGCCGGATTTCCGAACTGTCCAGAATCATAACAACCGGCTCTATAGAACCGGTCGAACTGGTAGAATCCCACCCCTACTTATCTCATAGTGACCCTTGGTACAATGGGCAGCATACATAATAAATCAAAATATATACAAACCATTGAAACAACCAAACTGAATTAATAAGAAAAACAAAATAAAATTTTGTTTTAAGATAAAAAACAAAATGAGGGCAAAACATAGACAGTGCATTCCTTAGCAGACTCCAGATTAGTTGAAAGTCAGGAAGTAAACAAGTTAAATAAATTATTATTGATGAAACAAGAATAAAAGCAATAGGCCCTAGATGATTAAAACTTTCTGCTTAAATTATAACAAGTTGCAGCAACAATTTCTTTCCTGAAATTGAGGAAAATCCATAAGCCACAATAAATGAGCATATTGGAAACCAGATTTCTTTTTGTTAATCATTTAGACATAGATGAAATAGTACAGCCACATTTACATTAATCCAACTTGTTCTTTAAAACTGCATTACATTGCTCTTTTCTCCTGTCAACGCAAACTGAGCAAGAGCAATGACTGCTAAATCCCTACTGTAGACAACAGCTGGGAAGCATTCACACCTCAGTTGGTACTGCTGATTTGACTTAAGAATTTCCATGTGGCACCTCAAGGTTTCTGTGTCCATTGAAATCTTTCTTGGAACCTCTGATGTTTAGATTAAGAGATTTTAATTTTTAATAAATACGATGCTAGTGTTGCAGAGCAAACATCACCCACTATTATTATTCTTGATTTACAAGTCTCAGATGAATTCCATAGGGTTCCTTAAAGATACTTGTGGCAGAAGTATTTTGGGAAGTCTGCCTGCCTTTCCCAAAAAATAACTAAGAAAGCAGAAACAAGAAATGTCCAAAGGGCAGGAAAGTCATGGCAGAAGAGATGGCAAATTACATTCATATCAATTTATACTTTGCAACAGATTACTAACCTGGGCAGGCATTTTGTGAGAGCAAGTGTTCAAAAAAAAGGTTAGAGATCTTTGGTCATGAGTGCCACTTTTGGCCTTTGAGTGGCATGCTAGAGTCTAAAACGTGGATAAGTGCCAGGTGAAAAACTAAGAGGTAGCAAATAATTTGAGAAAGAAAAGTTGCTTGGGAAACATGTGCCTATTTTTTAACGTGTGCATTCCTCACATAAGAGTCAACATAACACCCAATTATAATTTCCCCAAAACCCCAGACTGTTCAAGGTGTATTTCCTCTTTTTCCTCCTGGACAACTCCAATAAGCATCATTTTAAATCCTGACGTTTTAGGAGGTTGCATAACTGTATTTGAACTCTACAGGCTTCCTCTCTGTTTATTTTGGGCCTAAAATAGAAGGCCTAGTATATTGCTGGCAATAAGGACATCATTCTAAGCATTTTTGGGAGTTGTGTTCAGAGAACTCTAATCAAGACCAAATATCACATGTCAGTATGTACAACTTGACCACTGGGGGCAAACTCCCACATGCTCATATTGAAAAAGTATTCTTGATTGGGATGGGTGCCTCATTTCAGGCTTGTTTTTTTTTTTTTTTTTTGCTGAAAATCATCTCAGTTTTCTCTTGTGGTTTTGAAAGGACTGGTAGAGAGAGGGACTTTTTCTTTTTTCAAGCAGGAAGCAAGCAACCTAGATTGGGGGTCCTCGGTGGGCTTCCCCCCCCCCCCCAGAATAAAAGTAGTTTAACTCATAGTTGGTTTTAAAATGACTCTTGAGTGATATAACATCTTTAATAAACAAACAGATGTGAAGTGCTACAAATATTACTAAATCTGAGTTTAAGTCAGAGCTCAAGAGTTCATTGAAAGTTCATTAGCATAGGACAGTGACTTAAAAAAAAAAAAAGAAATAGTGGGAAATGAATGTAGAGAAAAGTGCTTTATTCATTGGCCTCCCTTACAATTCTTTTAGAATTTCCTCACCTGCACTCTACTTGGTTTTCACAATTAAAGCATCCATTGCTGTCAAAAAAAGAAAATATCCATTATGAGTAGCACATACCTATTTGATGTATTTTGCTACAAGGAAAAGATTAGTCTAACTGAATCTGTTTTTTTTAATTCCAATAAGCATCATTTTAAGTTGAAATGGATGCAATAACTGATCTACATTGAAACTGGCATATATTGACTGGCAGCATTTCATGTGACAGGTTCAACCTCGAATTGGCCTCAAATGGTTGTGTAAAATGAATTTGAGGACTTCTAAGACCTCTCTGCAAATAACATCTAAATGGACTATCAAAACTAGATATACATAGAAGCTGAATTACTGTTGTGGAACCAGATGTATTTTTGCAGCATCATGCAGTGTAAAAAGGTACTGTGATATTTTGATCCTTTGTGGAATGCTCCATAAAAAGAATTATTTTACGCAGAAAAGCATATGGAAACAAAGATTGTAAGCTAGATGTTTCCCTACTGTGAAAATGTTTTCACTCCAGGAATTGACATTTATACACACAGTACATACAAGAACATTATACTTCTATTTGCACTTTGCAATGATCAAGTAACCCTCCACTGCAGGCATAGTCCTGCTTGTTGTTGTGGACTGGGGCCAAAAAACCCTCACATTCTCCATCATGTTATCTGGAGAGGGAAAGTGCAGGTAAAGCTGGTTATTGTTCATCTAGGAAATAACAGATTGCTTTTGCTTATCTTCCTTTGATGAGGGCTCAATTTTCTCCATTGCCAGGAGAAGGTAAGTGAGCAATTAAAAGCATGGAATGTTCCTTCCTCTTTTTATTTTTTGCTGGGCAATCTTCTCCAACTCAATGGGCTCCAGACGTGTTGGACTTCTCTCAAAAACTATGCTGGCTAGCATTACAAGAATTAAAATCCAACCTATCTTAATGTCATCAGGTTGGGGAAAGCGCAAAGCATTTTGTGGGATACAAATCACATTGATCTAAAACATGGGGAATGCTGGGAGTTGAAGTCCATACATTTTAAAGTTGCCAAGTTTGAAAAACATTCCTTTAGTTAAGATGATGTGTTAGGTTCGATTCACACTCACAGTCAGGACAAAGACCAAACTAATTCATTAAAACTGAATTTTTAATTAAAATTTTGTTGAAATAATGCAGGAAGGTCAACCCATTGAATGACTGCAAGTCATTGCAAAAATCACGGGATAGGAAAAATTGTTTTCTTATTCTGTAGTTGACAATACTTGAAAGTGACAGGTCTACTATTTAACATTTAAATAAGACATTTGTATTATTAAATGTTTTTTTTTCTTGGTTGGGCATCTTAACGGACAGGTGGTTAAATAAAAGAAATATTTCACGAGAAGAGTTCTCCATTCCTCTACTCGTAGCAGAATACCTTAGAATACCTAGACAACCTAGAACTACGCCGCCTTCAGTCCGACCTAAGTGTAGTACATAAAATTATCTATTGCAATGTCCTACTGTCACAACAATACACGAGCACACAATAGATACAAACTCAAGGTAAACGGTACCAAACTCGATTGCAGGAAATACGACTTCAGCAACAGGCTGAAAAATAGTTTCTATCCCAGGGCAGTAGCTCTTTTGAATTCTGCTGTATAGTGCAGTGTTGGTGCGGTGTCAGGGATTTTCGGTTCAATGTGTGGAGGGTGAAGGATGTGTGTTTGTGTTTATTTTCATGGTCATGATATGCACTGAAGATGTTTGATTTCATTGTACAAGCTGCAATGACAATAAAGTAAACTAACAGAGTGGTCAATGTCTGGAATACTCTACCTGACTCTGTGGTTTCTTCCCCAAACCCCAAAAACCTTAACCTTAGACCAGTGGTAGTCAACCTGGTCCCTAGAGCCCACTAGTGGGCGTTCCAGCTTTCATGGTGGACAGTAGGGGTTTTGTCCTCTACTTTATAAATCACCATTACTGTGGAACTGGTGGGCGGTTAGAGAAAACTTTACTACTAACAGAGATACAAAAGTGGGCAGTAAGTATAAAAAGGTTGACTACCCCGCCTTAGACTGTCTACTATTGACCTTACCCCTTTCCTAAGAGGACTGTAGGGGGCGTGCATAAGTGCACCAATGTGCCTACCGTCCCTGTCCTATTGTTTCTTTTTATTCATATCCATTTCATGCATTCATAACCATGTTTATACTTATACCTGTTATCGAATACTTGCTTGACAAATAAATAAAAATAAACCACCACTTCCAAGAGTGGAAGTTGCAATTGCGCTGCCCACCGAGAGAGGGCGTTCAAGTGCACCCCGAAAACTCTGCGTCAGCACTTTTCGCTACTCTACTGCAGTGCGATTCTGTTAATAGAGCAAATCGCCCGGACGGCCATCAGGAGGGAGCAAAGAGACAAAGCCAATTGTAACTTTTTGCTGCTAGCAAGCTCAGAAGTGACAGCAGCAGGAGATAGGGACAACTGGATGCCTCCCGCCCCCCCTAAAGGGAAGGAGAAAAGGTTGCAGGGGTCGGACGCGCTGCTTCCATGGGTGAGGAGGATCGTTCCAGCACGACTTCCAACCCGAGAGCGGATCCGGGCCCCGCTCGGGTGGAGGAGAGACGAATTAAAAGTGCCGGTCGGACGTCATCCATGCAAACAGCGAGGAGCGACGCACCCTTGGGAAAAAAAAAAAAAAAAAACCAGCCTCGCTGCTGCTCCGTCGGGCCGCCCCGGACTTGCCGCGCTGCTCCTCCGCCTTCCGTGCGCCCGTCGCTCTCGCTCCTCCCTCGCCGGCTCCAGAGCCACGCCCCAATCCCAGGGAGGAAAGGGGGGGCGGGGGGCGGGCGGAGCGCAAGAGCTGCCGCCGCCGCCGCCACCACCGCCGCACACTGGAGCCACCGAGCCTGGAGCGAAGGCCAAAAGAAAAAGAAAAAAGAAAAAAGCAAGCAGGCAGGCAGGTAGCGAGAAACCGGAGGAAGGAAAGCAGCAAAGCAGCGGGCGGCTGGGCTCGCCCTGGCAGGCAGCGGCAACGGGGTGAGCCGGGGCGGCAGGAGACGGGAAGCGGGTGGCGGGTTTGCTCGGGCTTCTCCTCCTGTGCGGGGCCCGCTCGCCTCCCTCTCGCAGCCAGGCCGAGGGGCCCTGCAGCTTTTCGTGTTGGCTCGGAGCCCGAGAGGGAAAGAAGCGGGCGCGGGGAGGGGGTGGTGCTGGTGGGGAAAATGCCTCCCTCCGGAGAAAAGGAAGAGGACCTTCTCCCTCCCGCCCCCTCCCCGAAGCGAGGCAGCGGCGGCGGCGGCGGCGTTACTGCACCCCGGTAGCCAAAAAGGGGGGCTCCGGAGGGAAAGGCTCTGACAGCCAGGCTGGAGCCTGGCCAGAGAGTGAATTGCCCCTGAGTGCACGTAACGTGTGCGTGTTTGCGGTCGGGGGAGGGGGTGGGGTGGGGGAGTCGTGGGGGATCGCGGGGTTAAAGTGGCGAAGTTCTCCGACGTTTCTTTTGAGGAAGGAAAAAAAGGGTAGGAGGGCTGGGTTGTTGGGGGGGGGGGAGGAGGAGGAGGAGGAGGGGAAGGTTATTTTGATCGATTTGACAGCACAGATACCTTTCCCCATTAGTTAGAGAAGGTCGCTGCCTCTCTTCTCTCTCCTGCTTGTTAGTTCTGCTGCTTCAGGGCAGGATGGAGATTTCTGCCTTTTTTCTGGGGTGCCCGGAGATGGTGGTGCTGCTGCTGCCCACACAGTGCATGGTTGAAGGGTGGTCCCTCCCTCTAAAAGGGCTATATTGCTGTGATGTGATTTTTCTCTATGGGACTGAGAAACCCAGGGACGAAAGGGAGCTGCTCCTTTTTTGGAGACCACTCTGTGGGTACCAAGCATGTTCAGGCTAGTTTTTGGAGCAATTCATACAGTATGGCTGACATTGGCATTGGTCTTCTGAACATAAGGGTATGAATAGCAACAGAACTTTAATGCTTATTAGTTGTATTGTAGTCTCCTTTCTAGCTAAAGATGTTCTGCTTTTATTTGTATTTCCAGTAGCCACTCATGACAACTTGTTTTGATGTGCTAGTGGATCCAAAGTTATTATATTGAAGTCATTGGCATGCTGGGTTCTTAATGCCAAATACTTGAATTACTGCCAGAAAGACTCTGCTTCCTTGCATCCCCTTCCCTTGAATTTCTGCTTCTGGTTGGTTTCCATTAATGAGGAAGTAAAATACAAAATTTCCCCACGTCTCCCATGTAACATGTAAGGAAAAGAAACTGGACTCTTGACTTCTCTGTTTTGAACTTTTGTGGTTGGGGGAACATTGCTGGCACTTTGCTGCCATCCTGTTTCAGGTTTAGCACAGCTTTAGGTCTTTTGCAATAGCAGTTTTGCTAAGGATCCCCATTTGGGTCAAAAGACATTCCTTAACTTCAGATGCTTTTGTCTGCCTTAGATGAATAGCTCTCTCCTTGAAAGAACCAATAACTTCCTGCCAGCTGTAAACTTTGTACCAAGCCGCTTTTTGAATATTGCAGTGGCTGAAAGCAGTACTAAACTGAATTCTGTGTAAACCAGGGATGTTCTGCTACCGTTATTATATATACCATCCAGTATGGGGTTGGTGCACATGTTCATTCTCTGTATTGAATTGTCCATAGAATGAATTATAAATTATTCAGGTTATAGTAATTTCTGGCTTGGGGAATTTGAGCAGCTGCTTGCATTTCTAGTGAATGGTCATTTTTCTCATAGAAAAAATATTTGATACAATATCACCTGACTAGTTCAGCCATGACTGTACGGTATCATAAAAGGTCCATAGCCTTGAATTTCAAGTGCATATTAGACTCATTTGATGGGTTTGTACAGCCTCTTAATTTATTCTCCCTAAAGCATGGGAATAAAAAAAATGAGCAGTTCATAAAAGCAAGGATGCCTTAGGTCTCCTGAAAGCTAGTTATTTTACCAAATAAATTAGGTATCCAGGAAAGTGGTTGTTGTTTTTTTAATTCTTGGAGTGGGAAAATTGGAAGGTAAAAATTCAGTGGAAATCCACTCAAATGAATATTTAGCACTTTAAGTTATTATTGTTTAATGCCTTCAAGTCTATATTAACTGCTAGGAACTGCCTGGAAAGTCCCTGCAGTTTTCTTGGCAGGATTTCAAAGATGTTTTGCCATTGCCTTCTCAGGACTGAGAGAATAAAACTGGCCCAAAGTGATCCAACTGGCTTTGAGCCCAAGGCTGGTCTAAATCTCACAGTTTTGAGGTTACTGGTTTGATACCTTAACTGCCAAATTTGCTTAATGGAAACTAGAATTATTACTGATTTTTCAAGCTGATAATATTTGAACGTATTCAATTTGGAATTTTCTTTTTTGGGGTGATGAGGAGCGACTGGGTTTTCAATGTGAAAAATGAGCTTATCTGATAATTAAGTTTCCTAGCTATAGGATTTCCTATTTTGAAATACTAACATCATCTCCAAAAAGGAAAATTCAGTATACTATTTGCAATGTCACAAGACAGGGCAGTCACATTGTCTACACTTCATGCCAGTCTTCTATTTTAATATGATGTGGGAAGTATAATTCTTCTCCATGACATCATTTCCTTGCTGAGTAGCACCCCATGTCAGTCCATTATGTGTGTACTTAAACATCCTTGGGATGGAGAAATCTTGTTTGTATAAATTTTAAAGTTTAGATAAACACAGATTTTTAGATTGCTTCATATAGATCATATTGAAGATCCAAAGCATCTTAACAAGCTGCATGTATTGACCAATGGCAAGATGATATTCTCTCTCATTGTAAAACTTTCAGAATAATTGAGTGTTTATAGTAATAATCCATGGGATATTTTTGTGGGCCAATATTTGTTATTTGTAGAAAGACTGGAAATAGTCAAGTTATCTGAGATGCTTAAAATCAGAACAAAACTGTCAATTAAAACTAAATGTTATGAATAAAGTAAAATGTATTGGGTTTTTTTTAAATGAACAATTCATGTTTACAAAACTAGTTATATGTTTACAACATTTTAAGATTTCAGAACATAACAGTGTTCTGTCAGGAACTGGAAGTTTTCATGGCATTTACTTGTCACCTTAGTATTTGTAGTTGAGCTTAACAGTAGCAGCAGTTTGAATGTCAGAATTCAGTACACAATATCTTGGTTTTAATTATTCTATGTTACTTAATGAAACAGTTTAAAATAGCATGGGTGGGAAATTGATTTTTAGCTTCCTTAGCCTTTTACTTAAACCAAACCCACTGAAGTGCTATTTTTCAAATCAGTGAACTACCTCGATATGTTGAACCCTGATACTTTGTATATACCAAAAAACATTCCAGGGAGAGTTTCAGCAGTGCAAGTTCCACTGAAATAAAGTAGTGTAAATACAATACTTGTATAAACCAGTTTGAGAGCCATTTTGGTCTGGTGATTAAAACACAGGACTAGAAAGCTGGAGACTGAGTTCTAGTCCCTCCTTATCCATAAAAGCCAGCTGGGTGACCTGGAGTTAGACGCTTTCTCTCAGCCCATCTTACCTCACAGTGTTGTTGTGGGGAAAATCAGATGAGAAAGTATTAGATATGTTTGCTGCTTGAGTTCTTTATAAAAAATAATAAAAGCAGGATATAATAAATAAATCAATTAATTAAAAAAACTTTGAGAGAATACACGCATTAGTTTTAAGGTGGTATGAGATGCTTTGTGTTTCTGCCACAAAAGCTGAATGATTTGTAAGATTCCAAAAGATGTCTCTCTTTTGGAATTTTACTTTAGAGAGATACCCGAAAATGCTGGTTGCATTGTGCATATTAGTGTTCAAACTTTGCAAAAGCAGTATAAAATAATGTACTGTAACTCCTATGTCTATAGTTCTATTAGAACAGTCATTGTATTCTATTGCCATGGATTCCCCCCCCCCCCCTTGTAAATCCTCACATATGATTTGGAAATTACTAATACTAATACTTTCTTTTGTTTTTGGACAATTTGATTATTCTACTGCAGATTTGAAGAGTGTTTTCTTTACAGTTGGTGAAAAAAATTATTTATTTCATTAGAACATGTGTAGTTTTTAAGGTGGAGCTGAATTAAAACAGGAAGTCCTGTGTTCAACTAATTCTGTAAACAGATCTATTTTCATACATGTTATTTTCTCCAAAGCTTGACACTTCAACAGAACAGTGGTTGCTGTTTCAGAAAGTCATAATGTTGATCCCTGCTATTTAGTATAGGTTATAATTTAGGAACAAAACAAAACCAAAAATTACATTATATTCAATAAATATGTAACTTACAAAGGCTCCCTTCTCCAGATAAATTGGAGGAATAATTAAGGGAATACTATTTCTGCATGGTGATGAAAATGATAAGTGAAAAGTTAATTGCAGTTACTTAAGTTTGAAAAAGTGTTCTTTGGAGCCTTGCATTGGCAATATTTTAAGGGTTGAAGATAAAACTAAATAATTCTCACATTAGAATTTACAGGATAAATGCATGTCTATGGTCATGATGAGATGCATATTTGTATATATTTTCTCCAACTTTTTGCTTTATAGAAGGCAGCTATATTATAGTACTAGATTTTTGCAGAAAAGTTGGTGTTAATTCTTAGTTCTATTAATATTAATATGATTGCAATGTAATAATCTAAGTATTTTTACTAGAATGAATTCCTTTGAGTTCAAGGGTGTCTATTTTCACACACACACACACACACACACACACACACACACACACACACACTTTTTAATTTGCATTTCAATGCAATTATTGGAGTGGCTAGTTTATTTGTACATGTTGTGTTTACAGTTTTGCATGCTCCTTTGTATAAAGAGTGTCAAAACTGTAGCCATGCACTGAAAAAGTTTATGCTCTCATATGCCAAATGGTACAAATTTCATGCCTCACCCATACCAAGAAGGTTATTGCTGGCACAAGTAGAACTGAATTTGGTAGCTATAGTATCTGAACAACAATTATAAAACATTTTTTTCTTTGAATATTTAGAAATGTGGATTTATATATCATTATTTCT